GTGTGTGATGTGGTGTGGTGTGTGTGTCCATAGAAGTCATGTACTATCAGCCTGGTGCATTTTTATGGGCATTAAAGAGACAATCAAGTCAGGAGGGCCTGAAGCAATAAACATATTAACTAGCCGAAACTGATGAACCCTGTGTGTGGTGTGTGTGTGTGGTGTGTGTGTGTGTGTGTGTCTGCCAGTGTGTGATCAGCATGAACTGTGCTATAATGAAACCCTTCAGCGACAGCATGTAGGACAAGTGTTTCCTGTTGTTAAAGAGAGGAGGGGCGAGGTGAGTCAGAGAGAAAGGGGAAGGTTGTAAAATAAACGGAACAAATGGAACTAGAACTGAAGTACAATATGAAAAAGAAGTGTGGCATGCAGAGAGAAAGGTACGCGCAAAACAAGAGACATATTAGTGAAACAAGAGGTGTTTCTGTGCAGTAATCTGAGTTCAAACGGCACTGCTGTCTAAGAGGCTTTCTGAGTGTTTTCTTCCTTTAGTTTGCCCCTGAGAGAACTCTGTCTCAACTCAAAATAACAGCAAACGTCTGCAGATGTCTTTTAGCAGCAGGTCTGTCATGGGGGTTAGTTCAGAGGAGGCGGTAATCTCCACCATCCTGGAGACGTGACGCCGAATAAAAGGGTTAGCGTGAAGGGTTAAGAGTAGGTGTTCACACTCACAATGGCATCTGTGAAATGGCTTTTAAAACGTCTGTGGGATTTAAAGGTATATGGTGAATGTACGTGTGTGTGAATGGCTCCTGTAATCGCAGCACTGTCACATACTGTACAGGGTGATGCATGTTCCTGCAAATACATCTGAAAAGGAAAGCTTTTAAAGGAGCGTACTAGTGGTATTTTTATTTTAAGTTCATGTCACACACATAGGGAAAAGGGCCAGCAGTCAAAGATAAAGACTAATAACCAGTACTGCTACAAACTGAAATCTACAGGGGGTCTTTATCTGTTTTGGTGTTATGAAATAGCTGTATCTTTCTCGTGATAGTTTCATAAAGAGGCCCTTTTTTCGCTTTGTTGGGTGTTTTTCTCTTTCCTGGTAGAGGTGTTATATAGGTTTTAGTCATAGGCGGAGTTTGACATTTGGCGCTTGCGGGGGCAAACCTTTTTTACTGATGTCAGTACACCGTCCCAACTATTGCGTGGGGTGCTACGGATACAGTAGCAATAAAGCCAGCGCTCACCGCACTGAGTATGACTTTTCCACATACGAACACAACTCGTCCCGTCATGCACGCCTCATGCCCGCCGTACACACACACTCATATGGAAGGGGCGGTCTCTCCCCCCAACAACAGTGCGTTACATAACTGTAAAACTTATCATAACTGTGCACATCTTATACTTATTTGATAACTACTATAATCCCTTGGTTACTTGAACACGCTACAATATTATTAACCAGTGTCCTACCTTATTAAAATATTGATATACGAAATATTTGTATTGGAACAGTTTCGACGTAGTAATGCTGTAACATATTTCAGCCACTACACAATCCCCCCCGCAAAATCAGCCTATGGTTTTAATGCATGTAAATGGTCTGCAAAGGCTCAAAGTCCTATGTTCCAACAAATACAAAACATGAAAATGACTATAAATGGATAAACACAATGTCTGTCTCATGCACTTCTGTCCGGATTATATGTAATAATATAAAACTCAGTTTTTATAGAAGATCTCAACTGATCCTCTCAAAAGAAGAAGCTTTTAAATGGTGTCCTCTTACCGTTCAAGGTCATTGCAACTTGGATTATTTTTAGTACAGGACATCTTGTTAAAAAAATGACTTGATTGACCAAAAAGTCTTCACTGAGTCTTCTCCATTTCTCTACTTTTATGAACTTTTCATGGCATCTAGTTATAATGTCCCACAGAGGAACATTGGGTTATAAAAAGGTTAATGGAGTAAAAAACATCTTCTTGCCTATTTTATAGACTTTCGTTGAGTCCTGAGCTTTAAATATGACTTTCAACATCTTTACATGTATTCAAAATCATCTGAAATCAATAAATAGGGGACCTTTTTTTGCTCCCGACCCCGTCACTTTGTCAAGCTGTCATGTTAATTTGTGTTTTGGCATTCATTGTATCCTATATTTAAGAGCGTGGAGGCTGCTCCAAACGGATTATATGAAGAAATGATAAGCATGACACACGAGTGTATTAAAAAACTAAAATAGAGAACATCCATATTTAGTGTGATGGAGGCATTGACTCTCGCCCTGGTTGTCATTTGTGAACAGCTTTTCCGGCAGTTTTAACGGAAAAAAAGGAAGTCAATTTAGGTTGTCATCTTGCTGTTTTAGGATGTTTGGTCAATTTGGTTTCCCGCTCAAGAAACATTTCTTTATTTGACCAGCCTGCGTCTCTCTCTGTATTTCAGCAGCAGCTCCTGTCACTTCAATTCTCTTCAGGTCATTTCAGTCCGTGTGTAGAGATGAATGAATCCATTTCAACTTCCCTCCCTGTCTGTGTGTGTGTGTGGTGTTTATATGTGTGTGGTGTGTGTGTGTGTGTGTGTGTGTGTGTGTGTGTGTGTGTTTACATATGGAAATGTTTAGGCAAAGGGATGAAAAAGACAATTTATTCTATACACACACACACACACACACACAGCACACACACACCACACACACACACACACACACACAACCACACACACACACACACACACAACACACACACACACACACACACACACACACACACACTGCCTTACCTTCTGCTCTTGTTGTTGCGAAAACATTTGACTTTGGCAGTTTGATGAGAAGCTGGCAGTCACTTTCTGAAAAACAAACAAACACACAATTATCTAATGGAACAGATGATAACTCGAATATATATGAATTTAATCCGTAAACTGTGTGCATATTTCTTTCTTGACTCTGGAGGGATTAGCAGCTAGTTGAAAAGCAGTTTGACAACTCAGACATTGTTACGTTATTGTTCAGCCGACTGTGTTCTCCTCGCTGAGTTACATTAACATGTAATATTTTAAACATAATTATGTGGAGTGATGCATGTCTGGAAAAATACTTTAAAAAGGGGGGGATATTTCTATATTAATTTAACAGAATGAAATTCATATTTAATATGTTTTGGAACAATAATGGCTTTGAAAAATTGCCTGTTCTAACAACATTAAACATAAATTCCTTTACTTTTGCAAAGAGCTACTAGCTATTTTACTTTGTGATATGAAAAGACAATTTTAAAGAAAGCTTTGAGAAAAATAAAGCTTCAGTCACACACTGTCAACGTTTAGTGGCCCTGAATGATCGAAAACCTCCATCAGAGACCTCTGTACCCAAAATTGGACGCCTGTTCGCTCTCCTCTACACTGAGTTTGGTGGGAAACTGTGAGATAAAAAAAATACCCGTACACAAAAAAGTTTCTTTAAAAAGTATATTACTTATTTTCTTATTTGTCTATATTCATATATTTGTCTAAACAGTATGTTCATAAAATAAAAAGAGTTCAAAATCAGTTTGAAATCAATGCAGAAGCAATCAAACCTGCTTATAATATACACTATACTAAACAGTTTAATTGTATAGAGGTCTATGAGAAAATGAGCCTTATTCTTACTTAAAAAAAAAAAAAAAGTATTACCTTTCTAGACAGTGTCCTCATGTATTTATGGTCTCAATCTCTAGTTTAAAGTGTTCTCCAATATAGGATCATGTTAATTTTGTAAATCATGGTCACATTTAGAGTGAAAAGGACCATAAAGAGGGTATAAATTAGGGCGGGGCTACCGTGATAGACAGGTCTTCTACTATTGGTCGTCTTGTTTGGGTGTTATCCATGTTTTTAAAACTTCACATCGTGTTTTAAGTTTACAAAGTTAATTGTACCATTTGGTAGCCTTAAATAATATATAATTTCTCCATCCCTCATGTCACCTATGGGAACATCAAGATAAGATAAGATAAGATGTACTTTATTGATCCCAATTTGGGAAATGTTTGCGTGGCAGCAGCATAAAAGACAAGGCATTGCACATAAGAGAAATGAAAAGAGTAGAAATAAACAATTCTAAAATGTAAAACATCTCAAAATAGAAATAAAACAGCATTAAAAAAGTAGAAAATATACATGTTTAAATACTAATTTACAATTAACTAAATATAAAGCAGGATATTATATACATTAAATGTGCAAGGAATGGACGGATAGAGATGCCCAAAATGTCCAACTAAAGGCTTCAAAACCATATTCCACCAACATATGGGTGACGTCACGCTGACTACGTCCACTTATTATTTGAATATTTAGTCTATAGATTGACGTTAGTATCAATTAACACTTTTAAAGACATGCCAGGTGTTGTCTATAAACAGGCACTCGAGGACTGTGGTGTATAGAAAACTCAACGTCCGTCAAATGTTAATAATAGTGATCGGCTCTCTTTATCGTTTGGGCGGAAAGACTCTTATAATATTCTGCAGAGTATGAGTGGGGAAAAACGGATTCATGCTCGGTCAAATATCCCAAAATAATCCCCTCCAAGACATTAGGATTGTGGCCAAAGGGAGGATATCAATGTTGTTAAATGACACATTTCTGCGTGGGAGGAAATGGAGTTCTCCAACACCTTTTTCCTTCAGTCTTATAACACTGTGCCATGTTTCTAATGCTCATACATGTTGTTTCTATTTTTGGTTGTTTACTTGTTACTCTCCACTGCTGATTGCCTCTCTGCTGAATCTGTTTTGATGATTTCTTCCCAGTCTAAATCCAGCAATATGTAACCTTCATCATGAGGATGTGTCATGTTTGTGTGGCACCATCTGTTCTGATTGGCTGTCAGGTCGACGCTGCAGGTGTTTTTGATGATGGGATGTCGGAGAGACTGTGGAGAATCGTCAGCAGGAAGCACTGATAAATATTCTGCAAAGTTAGGTTTTTCTGGAATAATTGGTGTTGATGTTTTCCCCCTCTCTGCTGCGATGGAAGTTTCTGTTTGTTTCTAGTTTGTGTCCATGTCTCTGTATTTCATCAACTTCACAGGGGGTGAAACGCAGCCTCTTGATTACACATTACTTTACATTAACTAAATATAAAACAGCAACAGCAGTTAACTCAGATATCATGTGGAACTTTTACAAAATAAATATGAGTGCATTTTTCTCCGTAGGGGAAGCAAGAATACTCAAATATGTATTTACTTAACATTATTTTGGTGTAACAACACTTACTAACTAACTAACTAACTAACCAACTAACCAACTAAGTAGCTAACCAACTAACTGACTAACTACCTAACTAACTACCTACCTACCTACCTAACTAACTAACTAACTAACTAATTAATTAACCAACCAACCAACCAACCAACCAACTACACTACTACTACTAACTAACCAACTAACCTAACAACTAACTAACTAACTAACTAACTAACTAACTAACTAACTACCTAACTAACTACCTACCTAACTAACTAAACAAACAACTAACTAAACAAACAACTAACTAACTAAACAACCAACTAACTAACTAACTAACTAACTAACCAACTAACTAACCAACTAACTAACTAACTAACTAACTAACTAACTAACTAACTAACTAACTAACTACCTAACTAA